GATAATACCTGCAGTAAAGCTGGCAATACATGATACCAAGCTCAAGGAGATATTGCCAATCTTGGATTGACTAAACATGATGCAAAGGCCACCAAAAGAGACAGCTCCAGCAATCATCCCCAGAATCAGGAAGGCTCGGGTGGCATGGAAATAGGCTGTAGGGAGTCAATGGAGAGACAAGGTAAGAATTAAAGGCCGGGGTTTCTGCACATCTCAGAACAGTGACACATCTGGAATATTGAGACCATGTCAGGAGCACTCTCACAAAATGGCTGCCATGGATGAGTGCTCATTCCCATAATGGCTCCAGTGTGGGACATAGCCAGCCAAAAAACATTTGGATTACCATATCTGCCCTGCCTACGGGAAGGCAACACATGTTCTCATGTTTTCTGTTTCTTTTTGCTGCCATCTGTGATTTTTGTAACCCAAGTATACTAGGTCTGCAACAGACTGCTCTAATCAGATTTCTCCATATCATTCATTCTAACTTCTGTTCCTCCCCATGGGTGTCTGCTGATGTAGACAGCCATGGAGATGGCCTTGAGGGAAATATTCAGAAGCCATTACAGAAACAAAAAGGGCAGAAGCATTCCTTAAGCTCTGGGAAAGGACAGCCTTGGGAAGAGACTCAGGCTGTCTCCTCCTTGACTCACTGGGGTGTGAGAGGGAGGGCAGGAAAACATGAGCAGACCTGCAGGATTTTGTTAATATAGGCTATCTCAATAAATATTACTGCAGTTCTAGTCTTCTTGTGAAGTCCGGATAACCTCGAAGAGCTGACAGCAGAAATCAGGGTTTGGTCAAAATGCTGAAGCATGCATTGTGATGTCATGAGGCAAGTTCTGCCCTGAGATACTTGGATGCAATGTCACAAGGCAAACGTAAAAGAGGTGGACTTTGCACCATGATGTTGTGATGCATGTTTTGTCATTTGTTTACCCCCTCCCCTTGCAGACACCCATGCCCCCCACCGCTGGTCAGAATACTTCCTATCACCCTTTATTCCTCTTTTCCTTTTGTAGTTGATGGTGTACCAAGTTAAATAAATACGTGAATATATTTTCCCGCAATGAACTAGGATGCAATCCATCATTTTTTTCCTAACAAAAGCTTGTGTCACCCTATTCTCCTTTACATTGAATGCCTACAGTATGCCTGGCATCTGGGATCTAAGGTGTCATCCTAACTGACTCAACTTTTTCATGCAAGATAGCACTGGATTGTCTACAGGTAGTGCAAGATTGAAACTGGGCTACCTTCAAAAAAAAAAAAAGATTGGACAAATTGATGGAAGATAAAGCTAACAGTAGCTATTACATATGGTGGGAAAATAGATCCTCTGCATACAGAAATTGCATACTATTCACTGCCAACCCTTCACGATAGACCAGACTATGAAACCAAAGTCATGTAGACCAATACTATTTTTATTGTAAGATTATAGTAACAGAATCTTACAAGTCTGAATGCAGCTCTCCCCTTCCTCCCATTATCTTTGTATGAACTAGGGAGGAGATTGTTGGAGATGTTTGCATATATTACAGTTCTGCCTTAGGACTCAGGTTTCTTTTATCTAACTGTTGCCTTGGCAGCAGCTCTTCCTCCTGTCCCTCAAGGACATTCCCTCTGCCTTTTACATCTACTCCTAGCTACCTGGGGGCAAACAGGAGATGGCCAATCTTGGAAACCAACCGAGAAGCTGATGAAGCTGATGAAGCTGAGCCCAAGCTCCCTTCATTGATCTCTATAGAGTCTTTAATAATTCCTTGTATTTGGATTGGGATTGGATCAATAACTGAATCATATAACCTG